CTTCTAACTTGCCCTGGGGTGGTGAACTTGATCTTAGAAGAGGCCTGGGAGGCACTGACTACTCTAAGTTCGGCGTCGATGTTCCAAAGTGCCGTTGTAGGGACTGTTTGTGGATGGTTGGAGGGAGTCGGGTGTGTGAGGGTGAACTAACTTAATGTGAGTGAGAGCTTTTTCGAATCAAAAGTGACTATGGAGTCGTACCTTTCTTCACTTCGTCTAGTCTGAAGTTTGGGGGTGTCTATTTTTATCTACTTTGGTGAAAGAATGGGATATTTTTAGACTTGCAATTAGCTTCCTCAAAGAGCTACCTGATTGATGGGTGCTGGAGGTGGTGACGATTTCGTGGCCTGGGTGCTGCTTCACGATCGCTTCGAGAGCAACTACATCTAAACCTGTCAGAATTGACACCACAGCACATCGACAAGTCAGCTGATGCGCTCAGTTTAATTAATTAACCTTTAATCAATTGTAATGATTTCCGAAAAAAGGAATATTCGTTTTTTTTTTAAAAAACCCGATCAATCATGAAGGAGAAACGTTTTTTGCACGGTACGAAATGATGATAAGCGGTTCGAGCTTCATAAAAATTAGGCCTAAAAAAGTAGGGACGAGTTTCTTTTGGTATTTGCCTTAGGTCTTAATTTTGTTCGCTTTTGTTCCGAAGGGTAATTGTTAGTGATGGGAATAGGTGAAACGTACACTAGCAGATTTCACCTTTTCCCACACAACCGGTAAAATGAGGCAGTTCACTTGTTAGTGACCCTAGTGTCCATCCAGAGGACAAAAGGCGACACGATGCAAGGGAAGAATAAGTACTGCCGAGGTACAGAAGGGCTGGGAAGGGGGCTACGGGCATAGTCAGGAGGTCATGGCGCTTAGCGGAGCCTCAAGCGCCCGCGAAACCAAATCAAAGAGTTAAATACAAAACCAAAGCATTTCACAGCTTTCTACTCCTTTTGAACTTTTTTCCAGGCCTCGAAGTGGTCAACCGCCCGTGTCGGCCATCACAATGGAGTCGGTGCTGTAAGCAAAACGCCCACCATCCTACCGCAACAATAATGCATTTTGGGTGCAACCGTGATGATATTTAACCACAAGAGCACTGATCTCTCTTAGCAATTCTACTGGATCTAATGTTTTGTCCTGTTTTGGAACTATACTGGGGAAGGGGAACTGCGCAGACTATCTCGTATGTCCATCGCTATTATTAAGAACACTGGCCGAAAAGCAATGCTATCTAACAAAGGACGGAGTTTAACATAATTCGATGGGAATAAGATTCCGCGTTTATACCTCCCTGCCTCTTTGTTCCCGCTCCTTTGCTACTCAGCCATATCTATTCTGCTAGTGGTGAGGTGGAGGAGGTAGTGCGCGTCTGCTTGGTCGACCTCCTCATATGGGCACCGTAGCCAGACGGTTCATGGCTAGTGTCGCTTCAAGTGTTAATGACTTTCCTTCAAAACACGGAATCGGGTCAGTTGCCGCAGGAGGCGTCATTTTTAAGACTTCTATCAGGGGTCGTTAGACATTCTCACATCCAAAGCATACGCCCTTTTTCCGTCACGTCAAGGTTGAGTTTTCAGTCTTAGAACTCAGGATAGTTGTCCTTTAGGATCACCACCGCCACCGTAGCACCCTGCTTCTTCCCTGAAGACGAAAGAAGTCATAATACAAGGACGGATAGTACATTACCGACGTACGGAAGTGCTGAGAGGCTACTGGCATGGCCCAGAGACCATGCTGCCCATCAGAAGTTCAAGGGCTGAGAGTTAAGCATCCGTGAAATCAAAATGGTGAGTCAATGAAGCAATTAAAAGCCATTTATTCAAAATCGAAAAGAATAATTAACCAATAGTCCTTACATTTCCTTTACGAATATCACACTGTTAACAACTGTGAGGCATAATTTTGAGCTGGAGCAGTTTCTTGTTCTGCCCATTGTTTTCCTTCTCAAGTTGTTTTATGTAGCCGAAAATATATGGAAATGCATAGTTAAGCTGCGCCGGTCCTTTAATCTCTGTGCTCTTCACTATCAACTTGCTGCCCCTGTCACCTTTTCATGTCCAAAGCCCCTCGCCCCTTCTGTGTGCTAATTACAGATTCCCGTCCCCACCAGTGACCCCCCTACGCCTTCCGGGATGACCCAGGGTGAGTTGCCACAGCTATGGCAACGACAATCTTTACAGGGCCGGATGTAACAAAACTCCGACTTCTTTGACAGGATGCAAAAATTTAAAAATGTCACAGGGGGAGGAGGTGGGGAAATAAACCGTGAAGTGCAACATTTACGGCGCCTGCAATGGAAGGCTCCATTTGCATATATTAAGAGACGAGGCGGTGCCAGATTTAAGTACTTCCAAAGGGATTATCCTTCCAATAAGTTTGAAGTAGACTCGGACTGATGACTCGGCAGCATCGAAACGGGAACAAAGTTCCAAAGAGGAATGAATTATGAATGTAGCCGGATGAAGATAACTTGATGATGATGCTCTTATTGAAAGATTACTTAAGTAGGATTTGGCACATTAAGTTCACTCATTTAAGGGCATTGGCTGACTTTGAGCAGCACCTCGTAAAAAATTTAGAACCCAGGACCTAACTGTAAACCCATGCGAATCTACAAATTGTATCTCTCACTTTCGGATCTAAAGTTGGTTCGCCTTGATAGGGAGTCAATGCTCGACCGACGCAAAAGACTGACCACTGAAAGAGCAGGGCAATCGGGCACTTCAGATTTGAGAGCTTCCAACCATCATCTCGATGTTTACTCAAGCAACGTACAACGCCTTTAGAGAGGACTCGGTTGCCTAAATGAGTCCAATCGGGAGGTACTAGGTAGACGGCTGGGTGATGCTCTACGACAGGAGTACTACGCTTCGATAGGTACACCCGGTCCAAAGACGTTAAATCTAGTCTGACTAGTATTTTCTTCCCTTTCCTCTCAACAAGTTTTCTTAGAAAAAGTGTGTAATCAGCCTAAATGGTTTTTGTTAGAGCATACTTAGTGCTGCTTCAGTAAAGATAATTGCTCGAATAAATTCAATGTATGACGGGGCGTTATTTCGTGCCAATCCAATAAGCCTGAGCTGATTATAGCACTTACGACTTATCAGTAGATTTGAGGGAAAAGAGAGATGAGGATAAAACCTTTCAATCCTTAAACATGCTTTAATGTTTTTAATTAATATAAACTATATGTCTGTTTCTTTAATGCTTAATCTTATTATTAACGAATCCAGTGATTTGCAAAACAATTTTTGCAATTATCATGTGGAAAATAAAGATTAGTTAAAAATGCTTGCCAGTTGTCACTCCGCTTTCACGTCACATCCGGTTAGCGTCCTCTCCGCCGCAGTCTTCATCGCTTGTTTAATGTCAGCCTCCATGGGTGCCAGGACAATCTAGGCCATGCCAGCTGTTGACCCACCTTGCAACCAGTGGCCGTCCCGTTTATAATAGTAATTTAATCGGATAATGTTGATGGACTTTGGAAAAAGGTCCGGATGGATTGCTGCAGATCGACATGAAAGCCGCATTTAGGTGTAGGCCACGTGAAGTTCAAATTCGCAGCCTGAGGAACTATTCAATGTTCCACTGTTTCCCGATTTAACCGTCTACAACTTTACCTCCATAGGGATTTGTACATTTGAAAATAACTTCAGGATCGAAATTTCTTTAGCTGCATCCAAATCCCCCAATATTATTTTTTTTCCGGCGAATCCAGCATTTGTAATTATTCTGATGCTTTCAAATTAATTTCTTTGAAGCACAATAAGTGTTTTTGACGTTCATATAACACTATTAACACATGCTCAGCTCTTCATTATGATTTCGAGATCGCCTAAGACTGAGTGTCGCGGTCTCCGCTTTAGACCAGTAGTCCCCTCTCCAGCCCTTCTATGCATGGGCAATACATATTCTGTGCAAGGTTTTCTCTGATTTTTATTCTAGCAAGATTCGGGACGGTACGTTGCTGTCAGCGGAAAGTGAACACCATGCCTCAAAGACCAACTATTCTGATTTATTTTGTTGATAGCTAAACCTCAACGAGGTGGAAGAAGAGCACATGCGGCGGATAGGCGAATTTGCGGCAATCCCCAATAAAAGGTTTGAATTTTACGTCCGCATATGTCATCTATTCCACTATCGTATTCTAGAGGAAGGCCCTTAACACTGAGGCAACATTACCCTTGAACCATCCACAGAAGATCGTTTGAAAATTATCTACGGTACCTGAATGGGTTGTTAAATAAGTGAACAGACGATACCTCTACTACCTTTCTACTAGATGGATAGAACTTGCATAAATATGACTGGGCAGGACCGAAGTGAGAACAAAGTGGGATGGAGGAAAAGACGCAAAACCCTATCCCTAGGGAACGGTGTTAAACTTTCCTTTTTTAAGTGGCTATTCTTTTAGGCCAATATTCTCATGAGTAACGATGGACATACGTGAGGGCCTTTACAGTCCCCCTTCCTTAATGCGGTTTTGAAATGGGAAGTAACTCCAGATTCAGTAGAATTGCCAAGAGAAGTCAATGACTCCACGTTCAAGTATTTTCTCATCTGCATGAAATTGCGATGACTGGGGATTTTTCTCACAGCAACAATTACTTTGTGATGCCGACGCGGGAGATTGACCAAGGCTAGCTCCAGGGGACGATGCTCATAGGAGAGAGGAGCTCTGTAATGCTAGGAATATCTGTTTAAATCTTCGTTTTGGTTTCGCGGGCACCTGAGGGTCCGCCTGTGTTTCTCTCATGGGCGTCATGGCCTGTGGGTCATGCCAAAAGCCTTCCAGTCCTTCCGTTTGTCGGCAATGCACTCACTTAGATAGACAGGCCTTAATTTTGATTACAAGAAACCTACTGTTTTGCCCCATTTTATAAACAAATATTATACCCTTTAACTCCCTAGGTGAAGGTGTTCTACCCTAATTAGATACTTCTAACCACATCAATGGATTTCGAGTTTTGGAACCAACAATGAACAAATTTTGGCCCTTCTGTTAAAACGGAAAAGGTGCCTGCACTTAATGACATCAAAATTTGCAAAGCCTTCCCAATACTTTCAATGCTTTCCAAACGAAAGACGGAACTGTTTAATTAAATCGTTTTCAGAAGTAAACATAATCTTGAAATATTCTCCTAATTTATGGCACCTTGCAGATTATCAATGGCATTGCAGTGTCCAGAGACGTTCCTAAATGCGGAAGAAAATATAACACTCGGGCAGGATATGCAGTGTCAACGTGCAGTAGGGCTTGGGGCAATTGGCATGTCCCAAAGGCCAGGCCGTCCAGCGGAGGGACGATGGTGGAGACCCTGAGTGTCCCGACACAAAAACCGAGGGCCAAAAACTACATAGGAGTTACAACACCTAGATTAATAAATATTTTCAAGGAGGTCAGGAAACCTTTGATTAATTTTCCCCAGTATATTGAGGTTGAGAGGATGGTAAAAGGAGTATTTCCTCATGTGTAATTGCTATAGCTTTTTGTTGACAAATGAAACAATTCCATTTTATGTTTTTGAAGCGGATGGTCTATAAAATTTTGCTAATATTACATTCAGTTTAAACAACAATGAAAGCTCGTCGCATTTTGCAATTGAAGTGGTCCAGTGACTTTGCAGTCAAACAGTAGGGCATACTTTAGGGTTTTATGCAAGAAGATAAAAGTGACATTTGGGCAGACTGAAAAGAATATTTTGACTGAGGTGACGTTGCTGATCTACATGGTGGAGACAAACTCCAACTTTTAATAAGGTTTGGCAATAGCTCCCCTACACTACGCAAGCATAAGCTGTCTTTTTCTTCTCGATCTGTGGGTCTTAAGGCGGAGGTGGAAGGGTGCAATACAGGATACACGGCATTGATGGCAACAACAAATATACAGGATCAAAAGGGAAACTATTCCGATTTTATGGCTGAATGCGTAACTAAAATACCACAGGAGTTGGGCACCTACCACGGGTAAGTGAACCTGTGAAGGCTCCTAAATGAATGGTCAGAGAATAATTAACATGCTACAATCAAATGTAGTGCTCAATTATCAAGTCTGCAATGTTTCAACCCCTTTACACGTCACTAGCAAATCTTCCCCCATAACGACATATTATATTGTGATGGTGGCTTTAGAGAGATCAGATTGTTACCCCAAGTTTTCCTCTGAAGTCGTAGCAGGCCAAAATACTGTGAAAGGCCGTACATTACTAACATAGAAAAGGGCGAGACGCAAAGCGGGAATTTCACCATATACCGACAGAAGTGTGCATTTGAGTAAACTTAGTAAATAAAAATATCAAGTCACTACATAGAAGAGTTAGGCAACACCTCGAAATAAGTAAGAGACCGCCGACAGACGGGTCGAATTACGAACCCATGTTCTCGTATGTAGATGCGAATCAAAATTGCTTCATTCCAAAGCGGTTTAGATGGTGATGTAGTGCAAGAATGTGCGGCCATAACTGACAATTCATTTACTTATGATAGCTGTTATAAATCTTTATGTGAAAAATTTGTTGGTGTGTTATTATTGGTCATTTCACCAAGCGCCACAGACAAAGTTATTGCTTACCCTATGGCACTTGCGGAGTTTGTTAAATTCAAGGAACCTTTGTCGTTCGTTAATACTGATCCGGCTATTCATGCTCCAGCACCATTGGAGCACAATGATGAACTGTCTATCCCAGTGGAACCCGTTATTAAGGTATTTTTAACTGTCTAGGCGCCCGATTTGTAGGGGTTCATGGAACCGATCGACGAAGGAATTGCTTCCCAAGACTTGAGGATTCGATTCACGCATGGTACAACTACCTTAGCATTTAAGTATCAAGGTGGAATTATCGTTTCAGTCGATTCACGAGCGTCAGCTGGCTCTTACATCGGTATACATATTTTTAGGAAATTAGTTTTTAGCATCCCCACACGTGCACAAGGTTTTGAAGATTAATAAGTATCTTTTGGGAACCATGGCTGGAGGTGCCGCTGATTGCTCGTATTGGGAGCGTGTGCTTGCAAAACATTGCAGGTACGCGATTTTCATAAAACAAACACACCCCTTAAGACTGTTTGAGTTGCGTAACAAAGAACGCATTTCAGTCGCTGCTGCTTCAAAGCTCCTCTCTAACATGCTCTACAATTACAAAGGTTATGGGCTTAGTCTTGGGTCCCTTATCGTTGGATACGATAAGTTAGGGCCTGGGTTGTATTATGTTGACAATGATGGAACACGATTGACTGGTGATTATTTCTCCTCGGGATCTGGAAGTCCTCATGCCTACGCTATCCTTGATGGAGAACATAGATATGACATGACCACCCAGGAAGCTATTGACCTCGGTCGCAAAGCCATTTACCACGCCACCTACCGGGATCCAGCGTCTGGTGGGATTAATAATCGTAAGTAGCACAGGTTTTATCATTCCAACTCGAAATTTAGTTTATTACATGGGACCAGAGGGATGGACCTTCGTTGGAGCTGTGGATGTGACAACATTGCATGAGAAATATCACCCGAAGACCAATTAATTCTGTACTTTTAGGTTTTCTGGCAATAAAGTTCTTCTCCCTGCGCATCTTCTCATCTGTCATTGTGCTAAGAAAAAGTCAATCCGTACATTTGGATTTATCTGTTTTCAGGGTAGAAGAGCATTCCCCTAAAGGAATAATGCTCCTCAAGAGTGCGACTTGGGTCGCTTTTGTCCTCTTTTTCCTCCTTGTAATTTGGACCGAATTTCTGCTTTTTTATGTGAGCCTCCTTCGATGCACTTGGCCGCAGATATCAGAAAGTACTGTCGATAAATTCATTTATCCTGGGGATAACTCAAAACCTGTTAAGATCCTTCTCATCTCAGACACTCATATTGGAAGTCGTCATCAGTGGATTGACAAAACTCGAAGGTGATTACCGCCGGATCACTCTGGTCTTACTTCTGCTTGCATTTACCATCTGAGAATGAGGTTATGTAGTCTTCCCATGAGATAATGCCTTTTCCCTTCCTGCTTTAACGGGGTTTAGACACTGGCTGCTGAAGCGGGCCTTCAAAACGGCGATGGGTCTCTATCATCCTGACGTCGTGCTTCACCTTGGAGACCTTCTGGATTACGGCTTCTTCGAGCCTGAAGAGGCTTTCGAAGCCGATGTGAAGATAGCGCAGAATATCTTTGCTGTCGATTCTACGACTGTCTTCAAAGTTGTTCCTGGCAATCACGATATTGGCTTTCATCATCGGTAGGTTGACGACCACTCGTTATTTACGCCGTGTAAATCCACACATTGGTTTTCTCTTTCCCCTTTTGAATATCCTTATTTCCTAAAGTCACTATGCGTGTTTGTCGATGGGCAAGTCCAGCGTTTAGGAAGGGGATGATCGTGTGGTTTTGGGTAGTGCCAATTTATTCGTTCGTAATTCTCACTCGCCTGATTGCCAATTGAATAAACACTGACCATGTATTTTTTCAGTCTTTATTTGCTGGGATTCATGGACATAATGATAACATGTTGTTTAGGCATTTTGAGACACATGGAGGATTTATTTTGTAGCGGCTGTGTGGGCTCATAAATTTACACCTATTTCCATTATGTAGCTCTCCATAGCAGTTATTTTGATCTTATCTCGGGATTATTTTGATAGTATTTAACTCCTGCATAAATATAGCAGTATATATTAATGCCCAGTACTTGTGGATTTTTTCCCGAGCGCCCATTTCAATTCACAAAAAAACGCACAAATCAGGATATTGGGACATTGCTTGTGTTCAGAATATTTGACAACACAGATGGACTAAATCAAAACCCAGGCCTGACCATCTTTTCTGCAAAATATTATGAATATATTAATGGAAGATAGTTTGGCGGTACTATATTTCACTCTTTCATGAAACCCGACCATGACGGAGAGCAACCAAACCTGTCAGCAAGGAGGATACTCTGTCTATTTGATGAACACACCCGGAAAACGACTCATTTATACACATATGCGTATGATTGAATATAGCTATTTCTGTCCCTGACTCATAGCTAATCTGCATAGTACTACTAAATATAATATGATCAGGAATGAATCAAATCGCTGTTTATGGTTACGGCTGCTCTTGCTTGTCTTGGGCATCCCGATCGGTTACCTTGATTGAGCAACAGCCAACGAACGATTGGTTCATGTGCGTGCATCAGGCTGAGTAAAAGCAGTTTTTTTTCTTTTTCATTCATTTATTTCGTTAACTCTTGCGCTGTGTCTGAGCTAACCCTGAAGACGGTATAAGGCAATTGAGCCATGGAGTAGGTTCATTATAAACACTAATAGCATAGGCATTATGAACAAGTCTCCCTTCTTGTTTTCACGGCCACTACAAGACTCATGCAATAACAAAAGTGGAAGGAAAAATAAGTCTCTTACGCGATTCCTGTCTTGCTTTTGAGTGTTCTTCTCTGTGCCTATTGTAGTAAATACCCTGCACTGGCTATCGGAAAATGATTTTTCATTATTACGGGTAGACTCCAGAATCCCTCTACCAGCGCAACTACCGTTATTACTTCTTAATCAAACCTTGCTCATAATTCCCCATTTTTGTCCCAGTTGTAAACATGGGTTTTTTGAATTAATTTAGCTAAGGTTCTGCCCCGTTTCTTGTCGTAGTACTGAACTTTAAGCTGGAGTGGTTACTTGCAGTCATTTTTGTTTCAAAAATTGAAGGACGTAGAGTACATTCCAAAACGCTGCCACTAATTTAACACCCTATTTTCCACTGAATTTGCTTTACTATACCCGGAAGTGGCCTTATTATCAGCGTACGAATAGGTTGGAAAGCTAGTAACATAGGTGATATGAGTCAACAGGTCACTGCAGTGGATGTTGATTCATGAGGTATCAAAAGGGTGTGTGAACTTGATGCGATTATTTAGAAATGCTAGAGGGAGTGTTAGACAATAACTGAACCAAATCCACATTTGAGACAGTAGAAAATTGGTGACATTGTATTGCACGGATCTCGATGGACTGGACGAGACGCATTATACTACTCTCAATTAAAATCACATTCCTGTCTCACTCACCCAGTCTGCATCCTTACACCTACGCACGCTTCCATCGGGCCTTTCGTGACCACAGCCCCGGGACCAGAGCTGGGCCCAACAGCGGTGACTCGGGGGACGTTGGGGGTGGGGTGAGGTTGTGGGCGTACCGGGGTCTCCTCTTCGTCTTTATTAACAGCATGGCTCTAGGCGGCGACGGTTGCCGCTTCTGCCGGCGTGCCGAGGAGGAGCTGCAATTGCTTACCAAGCGCCTCCAGTGCCTGCGCGGTGAACTCGCTCTGCAATCCTGCCAGGACGACTTCAAGGCCATTACGGAGCCTGGTAGCGATGGTATGTCTCTGTTTTTATATTTGAACTTTTAAACGTCCGGAACTTCCCTCCCTTTCTCCAGTCGACATCTATTCTTCAAAGGTGATATTGAAACTAATTTTGTTTTTGGTTAGCTGTAACTTTATTGAGGGCCGTGTTATAATTAGTAAAATGGGATGTCATCATAGTTACATGACTTTAGATTCTTCAACTTTCTTCCCAAATACACTATCCTCTCAGAGATGGAAGGTAGGGTTGTTTCCTTTTTTGACAGTACTACTATTGCCATTGAAAAGCGGTCTTTTTAAGGGTATGAGAAAACCGATAATTTTCTTTGCTATTGAGGAGTAGTTTTCTATGAGTTCCGTTGGCTGCCATTCCTGTCTCCTCATTGTCCACCCATTGCAGTAATTCACCCGGGCGACTACTCGCACCCTATCCTCATCCAACACTTCCCCCTCTACCGACCAGATGAGGCAGTTTGCGAGACTGGAATGCGTGACTCCTTGCCCGAGGGTGAGCGTCACACGCCCTACAAAAGCGATTTTGACTGCCTCTCCGATTCGGCTACCAAACAGGTTTGTCTACCATCGTAATCAGTTAGGTCTAGGTGGATTCATGAATTACCCATCTTTTCTGTAGAAACCTTTTCTCGATGTGAACAGACGATTTTGGGTGGTTAAGTCTCTTGCATACATTGACTTACCAAACTTCCGTATTGTTCAGTCCACCCTCCTGACTAGCAGGAGAGCTAAAAGTTATTACGATAAGTTGAGTGGTATGATCAACTCAGTGGCCTGGTCTCTATTCACTTGACTCACCTCGTCATAGGCGTGCAGGCATCCATGAACAATCTCGTAGTGTGTTCTTTTTCACTGAAGAAACATTATCTTTCAAATTTTTACATTTTGAAGAAATTGTTCCTCACGGCACGATTAAACTCATGTGCTCCGCATGCACCCATCCTTTTGTGATTGTAGCTGTATTTGATGCATAATTTTTGGTTTGATCTATGTGCTGTTCAATCAGTTGGTCGTTCCCTGTTTGATATCGACGTCCGTCTAGTCTAGAAGGTGTACGTGGAATTCAATTAGTTACGGAAATTTGGAGGCTAGAAATGCTTTAAATTTCAAATACTACTTATTTGATTGGTTTTCTTCGAACTCCCCATTTTCAGGAAAGGTATTCGAGCATGATATGGCTACCTTTCTTTGTGATTGACAAAGACGATGCCCTTTAATGCAGTTAGGGATTGAAGTGAAGGTAAGAATTGTCGAAGCTACCTTCCTCGGAGAGTAACAATGATATAGGAGGAGACACAAGATGCTATGTTGTGTTTGGCCTAATCGAGTCAAATAAAAGTGTTATTTTGCCAAAATGCTAGGGTTAGTGGTCTTCCTCATAGATGCATGCTTTCATCCTGACAAACGGACTTGACTTTGTGATACTGCGTATTGATAAAGCATCAGTCTACTAGGGCCGCTAACCGCCACCTTGATTTGAACGTTTTTCTCGGTGCTCTCAGTTGTGCTTCTGGGCCAGCCGCCGCACTTTTAGTTAGGTGCAATTAATTTGCGATCGCCGTTATCTATTCTGTTGCTAGCTCAGGCACACTGAGTATTTCTGGTGGGAAGTGGTGTTTAAAGCCAGTGAACTTGACACTTTTAATAGGAGTTACTGTGAAATCAACTTGATTTAAGCGCGTGTTGAAGAAGAGCTATTCGCATTCTATTTCGGCCTTATTCCCCCCTTTTATTCTACACACTTTGCTGCCATTCACCTACCTATTTAAATGCTTCAGATTCCTGCAACTTAGGAATGGTCCGACGTCGATATTTAGCTTACTGACCGCTTTTTTAAATGGCAATTTGTAGATAAAGAGGAATTCGATCACATTCCCGCTCCATTATTGGTCAAACTGTTGAAGATCTGGATTTTCTATGTCTTCAGCACTTCAGATAGCAGCTGGCGCATTCGGTTTACTGATAAGTTCCTTAGGCGTGACACTATGTCTAGCGTCCAAGCTACCTCTGAGGTCGTCATAGTGATGCTTGAAAGCTTCATATGGCAATAGAATGATCAGTAAACCACACTCCACGGAGAATTGAATATCCAATATGTTGTTTTCCCAATAATGATAAGATAGGCATTTAAGCCCCAAGTTGGCGCAACAAATGTATATGGCCATGATACACAAGAGCTAGAGATTACCAGTGTCGTGGGAGACATTTTCGGTGCCGCTGACTCAGTTCATTGATGCTTAAATTGGTCACCACTACCTCCCTTGACAGCTCTTTTTCGCGATCCGGCCAAACTTGGTGTTCGGGGGACACACGCACTACTACTGTCACCGTAACCACACCGTTAGGACGCGAACAGACGGCTCGTGGCGGACGGAGGAATGGACGCTCCCCGCCTTCTCCTACCGTGTTTCCAAAACCCCTGGATTCATTCTCGTGAGTAGTTCACTTTTTCCTCTTCTAAAAAGGTTACCACCTATCTAATGATTTTTGGCCTTAGTTGACTGATCAAGAAATGCGCTAAATTTTTGAAGTTCATGAAATTGTGTTCTGTATACTCTTTATGTGTACCTTCTGCTTTTTCGCGTGTCTTTTATAAAATTAGTCAACCACGCACTGAGGATTGGATAGCTTTATTACAAACGTGCAGATAGGCCGGGACACTAGTATCAGCGGCATAGGGAATGGATCGTGGGTGACTAAAAAGGCTCACAATACTATGTTGTTTAGTTATATAAGCCTGAACGATTATCAGTTTTTGCCTCCTAAAAGCTATCCTTGGAGAGCTGGATAAGGATTTGTGTCCCTTTAGCACTGCTATTACAAATTGATTGGTAACATTAAACGTTTTTCGCATCTTCATTGTGGTAGATTCACATTTTTATCGTCAATTCTTTCAATTTTAATGATGTATAACTTCCTGGCACTGTAATAACAAACAATTTTTTAACTGTTCTTTGCGCACTCACTTGATTGGCTTGATCGTTTGCAGCCATCAAAAGGAACTTGTTTCACACCATGTATAAAGCCAGGACTGCTTGGTTTAATCATTTGCAAAATCAAAATTATCTTTATTCAGACACCCACTTCGTGGTTTTATGAGGAATCTATCAATCTAACCAGCTGGATTTTTCCAAGTAGCTTAATGTTTGTGGTTTAGCAATCACATCAGACCTTGCTGCTACCTGACAATAGGCTTGTCACGTGCATAATATCTGTTACTGCTTTCAACTTATGGAGTTGTTTTTGCTTACCCTGTTCTAACACCTACTAATGCCATTCAAGTCATTGTTGGTGTTTTAAGATTATAAGGTTTGTACATATTCCAAGGAGAGGAAATTATACTTACTTTTTTGCTCACTGTACATCTATTTCGGCGGTCTACTGATACTTGGAAGTAGCCTTGACACGGAAAGATTTGTTAGGAGGAGGACACGCTTACCGTATTCTGTCACGGTAGCATTTCTTCTTTTAAAGTCGAGTTTCCCATTTAATCTGAATGCCACTCGTATATATGCTCCCAAATCCTGAATTTTCTATCAAAAAAACCATAAACCTGAACATTTTATGCTCGTTGGGAAAATTCTAGTCTTGTGGAGACGAGATGTTTAAGACGCACCATCACACACCTGTTCTGCAGAGGACTTCAAGTTAATGCCAGTTTTTTGATTACCTATGCATTCATAGTTGTCCACAGCTTCAGCTCCCATGGGCTGTCTTGAGCTGATCATCACTTTTTGATCTTTTAGCTGCATGCGTCAAGGAACGGCTATGCAGTTCGACGATGCCACCTGCCGACCGAATTGACCATTGGTGTGAACTACGCCATTGGCCTTCTCCTCATCCTTTTTGTCTATCTGCGTCTTCGTCGACGCGCCTCCCGACTCCTCAGCGTACCTCTTCGTCATGACGGCAAGGATTCGTGAATGTTTGCCTCTCTCACACCACTTGACAGGCTGAAAGGCACAGTGGCTTTCCCCCAATTTTCTTTATTGCTTTGGCTGTTCATGTACTCATTCCTACTAACCTCCTCTGGTTACTTTAATTACTATTGGTTACTTCCTATTTTTATCTAGAAAGGCAAATATATGCATACTGCACAATTATTTGTATTAATGGCCGAAGTAGCGAGTTCTGCTTTTTGCTTGTGTATGTCAGTTTGATGCTATCGTGTAGTTTCTATGTTTCTTATGCGGAGAAGAAGTTCACTCTTTAATCTTGTGCCAAAAGGGTAAGAGGTTTTGTAAACTGTCTCCCAGTTGGATATTCATTGGAGGTTTGTGTCTGCTGTCTCGTAACTAAAAGGCATTCTCATCTTAACTGCGTGTTCGAAGAGTTTCAATACTTGCCCTATTCTCAGTAATGTATTCATCAGCAATCTATGTCTAATTTTTTTATGTAAAAAGGGTAGCGAAACACTTTTCTTTTTGAAAACTGTATCGGCGACGTTCTTTACTCGAAAAAGTGCTTAAATTTTTCTGTTGTTACTGCAAGTCCTGAGTCAATTTTGATGCAATGTTAAGCAGGAGTCCTTGTGTAATTATTTGCTTTTATACTTTCAGATAATTGTTAATTTGTTGTTACATTGTGGCAGGAGCCAAACCTCAATTTTATACTTTTTGATCAAGCGCTATAAATGGGCATTTGATTGGTTGAGTTGGTTTTGTCGTTTTAATTGAAGGTAGCCAATAGAATTAAATTCTTGTGATTTGATGGCAGCAACGAGGGGTGAAGAGCTTTGACGCAATTCCCCCTTCAGGGCCTATTCATTTATTCTCCTAAGACCTATCTGTTCTGCTGGCCAGCTTCCATATATCTTATCCGTTATTTCAACTAATTCAGTATTATCGGAGTGATGATCATGCCAGACATTTCCGGTGATTTATGTATGCTTCTATTTCGTTCACTTTATCCCCGGATGTCCAGGCAGAACTGGACTTTTCAAACCATTGATAAGCTCATTGAATGTGCCTTCGTTCATCACTTGTCTGCCCCGTTATGCTGGGGTTTCATGGCAGAGATCGCATCTAAAACAGAATTTTGATAAGTAAAGCTTTGATTCTAAGAGGGCTAATAGAAACACGGTAACTGATACTTAGAATAAGTATTTGTAGTAGTGATGCAGCATTCTCAATAATCATTATAAATAAATTAGATTCAGAAATGTTCTTTGCTTCGTTGCTGCGTTGTCCGCGAGGTTACTAGTGTCTTTACTATAGACTTCAAGAAAGGCTAGGAGATGGGCTGGATAGGTGAAATGCGCAGAGTTTCAGAGGCTGTAAAGTGTAGGTCAAATGGCGATGACATAAAAGGGTTAGGGTCGAGACCTCTATGACACTCAATCCCCGCGTCATTTTAAACGCCCCTTCTGATTTTTAATCGGTATCTTTCAAAATTAACTTTCATCGTGCAGTCATGAAGCGCTAATTGCTGGAGAATCCTTCAATCCTTTACGAACCCGATTCTACTTTCTCCTCTAGAATAAAGAAACTATAGGTAGTGATCCTTACAACGCTGCAGAGAAAGGTGATGAGGAAAGTGAAACAGGAGAGGTGAGACGCATTGGACCTCAGCTAGCACCAGACGCCATGGCACCTAGCGGAGGCATCGGTCCAGCACTGCCAGAGCATCTCGTGCGTGCACGGATGGCCGCAGCGGCGGCAGAAGATGAGACAGCGCCTATCGATTTAGGTGCCATCGGACCCCTCCTACCTGGCAACGAGATTGTTGAGGAGCTGCGTCACATCTCTGGGGGGTCGGGAGGTGCTGTAGGTGTTTCTAGTCAGCTAGAGGAATCTTACCCTCCTTCCTCTTTCTGCATTCCTTTTCTGTTTCAGGCACCGTCACGTGTCAATCCACCTTCCTGTGACGGTTTGGAACACGAGACCTGGATGACGGACTACCTACCAGTCTCAGCGGATCCTAGGGCGGCGCTGAAGCCGCGGAAATTTCGACAGAACGCTCCTTCTGCTTCTGTAGTCGACACTTCGTGGTTCACGGTGTCTGACGGTCAGTCATCGCACTCTACTGCCGTCACTGCTACTGCCAACGTGAGTGATACCACGATCGATTGATTTGGTGTCTGGATATCATAGTGGTTAGTTGAAACCTCCCTCATTTGAGTAATTCGCTGAAGAGTTGTGATCTGAACAATGGAACTCGACTTTTCGCGATGTGACAGTTGGAGACCTGCCTTTTGGCTGAGCGATTCCTAGCTAAGAACTATTTCAAGGTCTTTAGGTAAGTGGCATTGGATCTGTGGTAGAGTTTAGTGGAGAGTAAATCACGAATCTTAATTTTTTGCTTATGGGGTACATTGTAGAGTTCGCCGACCTGGACAAGATTGCTAAGACCCTGATCTGTCACTTGAAAGGTTGTCAGGTGTGCAGATTCCAGGTTGGGATTTCATTTTCGTTTTGGTTGTAGTTAATGATGATTAGTGTCAGTATTGACACAATACTAGAACTGGACCAACATCGTAACTAAAAGTTGGTCAGTAAGATATTTTTTGCAGTTACAGCACAATTTCAAGGCTCATAGTTTCGCAGTTTCAAAATTTCCTTTATGGAGAGGGCCACGATATCGCTGATTCATCTATTCCTCGGTACTGCATAGCTGTCTTTACGAAAGAAGCCTATTTACTGTTTCAGATTCCCAAATCAGATCCACACTCCAAGGTGCTGCGTGACGTTGTATCCGCCAGGGACGACAAAATGATGGCTGTTGCAAACGAATACAACGTAAATCTATTTTCGTCTCTACTTATCACCATCCGCATATTGCCTTCGAATTAGAAAAGTAACAGCAACGAACCAATCCTAGCCAACCGCACCCTACTACTTCACTTGTAGAAGAAACATCACCGAGATGAGAGTCTTCTTGAAAGACATCAGAGGAAGCGTGCCAGGGAGGCTGAGAAGGCAAAAAGGAAGAGACGAGAGAGTAGCAGCTCCACTAATCCCACCACCACCAGCAGCAGTAACAGTGATTCAGAGGACGAGGATGGGAAGAAAAGTCGAAAAAGCCACCGGAAACATAAGCATCGGCACCATAAAAAGGCGAGTTACATCGGCCCCTTCGCGTGTCTACATTTCGTGTGCTAACTGTTGATAGACTAATTTTAACAGCTAAGCTATTTGCGGAGCCAAAGGCGAAGGAAATTCTCAATGACTACATTCTCTTTTGCAGCTTATTTACTCACCCATTCTCTTATTAACGCTACACTCTATTCATCCACCTGTTTTGTGCATCCCCTAGTTACGTTTCAAATAGCTTCCAAGGTAAAATTATCCCATTTACTTACTCCCTTTCGCAGCATCTGCTTTTAGCTCAGATCTTCAGTTTTAAGCCGGTAGTTTCTTGTTAGAAAGGAGCTTTTTAGGCTACGGCACCATGAGCTCGATTATTACTTACGTCGACAAAATTGTACATTTAAGGACCTTAATGGGAAATTTACAACAAATCGTTTCATTTCTCAAAGGAGCCAAGATGAAACGATACTAATATGGGCTTTCTAATTCAGAATTTTATTCATTCAGGAATTACTTATGCTATAATATGCTTTTAGTGGTTTGTTGTGTCTGCATTAGCTACCAAATTATTCGAAATGTGAAGCAACCAAATGTTTGTGCGAGTTCTACGACAAAATTGTGTAACTCCTGAAATCTTCTTGGAGTACTTTATTAAAATAATCACATTTGCTATCCATAGTCAACCGTAAAAAGACTTGAACTTATTTAGAATTCTAATTCTGTAAAACGTTTTGTCTTCAAAGGCCGGGAGAGCATCTTTTATTTCGCAATGGTCTGTCTATTCTATTTCTCAGGCGATCATCCAAATGCCGAAAAGGCTAATAATCACTAGGACGATACAAAGGATTAGGATGGGGTATTATCACCCCATCTCTCTCCCATCCCAGCGAAATTGTCACAAAATGTCTTCTCATGAACCATTTCTGTAGCGTAAGGTCTCGCATCGAGCTGTCTTGCAGGGAGAGAAACGTAGCTATTTTCTGACTGATTGACTAGTCTGGGCTGCTTCTGAAGACACACTTTCGGGTTGCATCGTGGCACGTCAAGTAAATAAATCGCAGCTGTAATTGTTGAGTCTTAGGTAGATGAAAATTTTGCGTTTGCAACTCATCACACACCCAAGCATGAAGTGTTACGTGTCTTAGAAGTGTTTGGGGATAGTCATTGATACGTTTGCCATTTGTTGATCCATGTGGATGGGACCCATTCGTTACGACTTTGTCCGTTGATATGCGTGTAAGCAATTCGTTTCACCACCTCTGTTAAACACTGGTGGAAGCTACACCTGCCATGTCGATCTTGAGTTAGTTGAATCCATAGCACCACTTAATTCTCTCTTCCAATCAAGAAAGAAGAGTCTTCATCATCAGAACCAAAATTCGTTTTTTTGTCCAGAACTTGTTAGCTTTGTTAGAAAGCATGCCTCTTCTGCCAGCTTCATTTGAGTTCATTCAGACGAGCAACTTTCTGCATTCGTTATAACGTTTGCACAGGTAAATACAGCCATATAAATGTCCTTTTTCCCTTTAAAGTTATTTTAAACCATTTGTAGGTGTTAGGCATTTTCCAGAAGAAGGAATATAAAGATTTGCTCATTTGCTAAGGAAGGGAGGTGACGAATTGTAAATGGGTTTTTAGGAAGTTGCTCATCACTTAAATCGAACACTATCATCTAATTCTGAAGGGCTGTTTATCCTCTCATGAGGATGCTACTTCATTACAATCAGGAACGGTTCTCCCCCACCGTCTTCGTGCATCATTGGTGGGACATTTGTCGCGATTTCTTGCGTCAAATCGGCAGTTGTTTCCCGCGGTTTTGCCCACTTATCGATGTTTTTCACTCGTGTTCTGCCTCGAGGACTTAATGCAGTTCTCGGCAAGATCGTGTTGAAGTCTCTCCGACGCTTCTGCATTTGCATTATGTCTGACGAACTGCCTATCTGATCGTCTGACGCATTTACAATGCGCATCCTCACTTTGCATTTGTCTCTCTGAATAGAATGTCAATTGCATTTGTGTTCCCTATCGGAAGGCGTCCCCACAACAACTTCTGCTAGGATTCTAGGAAATTCGATTGTAGCCTTAGGAGGAGCGCAACCCTTGCCTTTACTCCATGACTCCATTAAGTAGTCCCATAAGAAAAGCGCAGCTTTATTGTTTGTTTCTCATAGCTAGCTACGTTGTGAATTTTTTGCCTCCATCAAATCGAAACAAACTCCTACTAGTATTTAAAACGTCTCAGACATAATTTCAACTGCTTTGTGTGTTAAGGAAATCTTATTTTCAGAGAGGTTTGGGTAGATAATCTTAGTAGTCGTATGATGAATTGTAAAGCGAAGGGTTATTTTCTGTCTTTTTTGACAAAATTGGCGCACTTTATGGTTCATATTTGTAACTGAAAGGCGATTCAGTTGTATGCCTCAATAATTCATTGAAACTAGGGTTAAATAAATACCCGACCGTTTCAGCTATCCGAAACTGGTCGCATTTTTCACGTTGTCATCTGGAACATTCGTAGGTAGATGAGGCTGTGTTTGACATGAACTGAATTGGCACACTTTTGTAAAATTTTCTTGCTTCATAGCCTTATTCCCTTTTATTTTTAATGAATCAGCAAAAAAGGAAGAATGGAAAGAAAGAGAGGGAAAAGGGGAAGAAGGAGAGCGTAACGGCAGGTCCAACACGGCAGCCCTTCGACAGGGAACGTGATCTTCTCGTCTCGCGAGTGGACCCACTCAAACGTCGAGCTATCATTGAACGATCCAAACAGTTGGGCTCCAAATTCGCCCATGGGGGACAGAAGTTCCTATGAACTGCCACCCTTTCCCCCTCGATGTGTACTTTCGTCTGTACATACAATACAATGTCTAATTTTCTGCCCTCCTTTCCTGAGTGTGTTCCATGCTGTTGTTGTGCCAGTCTTTGTACAAGGCGGTAAGGCAGCTACTGTCGGATCCGCGTGCGAGGTAACTGCCTCTTGTATAACTCACCCTTTTGACAAATATGCAGACCACTCATGCCAAACTTAAGGAGAACCGGCGCCTTGTTTCAATCGGGCGTAACTAATGCTGTTGATATCATGCGACGTTGATGGAGCGTTTGAAAGTTGTAATGGTATCCAGTAGTCCATTGCCCCGCATATCATTCCCTCTCCCTATCCCGTCCATTCCCAAATGGCCCCCATTCATTCTCGCAATCCTCATTCATGCAACCTCTTTGACTCCAAAGCAGCCAGGTCATTTGTAAATCCTAGGTTCTTCCCACCTCTTTACTAGGTTAGGTTTGCTTTACCATCTAGCAGTTTATGACGAGCAAAAGGAGAGAGCCAACGTCGTTACATGTCAGCATAGGCTAGGGAATTTGGTTAATAAAATTTCTTATTTTCGGGAATGTTTTGGAATGGGATTATCGAGGTCCTGCATTTTGCAGAAGGCACTTTCTCTGTCCACCGAAGCACTAAAGCCATGACAGCCCTTTCATGACTGAAAGTGTAGATGAAGTCTGCAATGTCCTATTTGAAGCCGAAGTAGTACCAATGAACAATCTTGACGACCTCTGCACACAGCTTACCCATTTCATCGACAATGGGACGAAGGAACTTTGGGAGTCACTGGTTAAGTACACGAATTCATTCTCATAGCCAAATATTAGGCAAGGCAAGGCTAGACCAACTTGGCAGCCATCCAGACGCGTACAACCTCATATGTTGGAAGTGCTAGACCGACTTGTCGAAAAGATTATCAAAGACGAGGCTGTGAATAAGAAGGTTGGAAGTCTACAGCTGTGCGTCTACTACATGAAGCTGAACACAGTAGCCAAGAAGGAAACTCTCCCTACCCCACGTAAACAGCTCGCTAGATTCCCTGCATAGGATGTGGTAGAAATGGACAGAGAAGACAGTTTACATATTACTAAACGAGATTTATGAATTCCGGACAAGGCCTTTCGGACCCTGACGCCTTTCTGACACCTCATGCTAACCGCGCTGGCTGGTCAATTCCTGAAACAGCGTATAATGCACCAGAGTGACATTCTTGCCTTCAGTAGGGATATTCGATAGCATAACGCCGACCCGAGGCTAGTGTTAGGCTGCCTATGTAACCCTGAACTCGAAGAAACGCCGCCTTCTGCCGCACAAAGAAAGCCAGGACCCGACCAACACCAAACAATCAGACGGAACTTCACAGTTTCCGGGGCTTGATAGATTACTGCAGGCGTCTTGTCGAGGGTTTGACTAAGATCACAAGCCCACTGCGAAAACTGACGAAAAGCGGACAAAAAAGCGCGGAAAGAACTGAGACGAATGGCGTATTTTGCAACGATTCTAGCATTGTTGAATTGTGAAACACTGATGCCAGTGATGCAATCGTGAGTGGCGTGCTCTCACAAAAGGATAGAGAATGTGGGCACATGTCGTCACCTACACAAGCATCAAGCTCAACAGAAAAATGAGAGGAAAAGCACAACACAAGGTGTGCTGTTCGCTAACGTCACGATGGTTAGACATTTCAGACACTACCTAATAGCGAGGAAGCCCATAGTTGGAACGGATCATCAAGCGCCAATCCGGTTGAAAACGATGGGAGAGGTAGACCGTTCAGTGGCACACTGGTACGAGAAACTGCCTTGTTACGGTTTCAAAATCCAGCAGAGTACAGAAAAGGGAATGAGCGTAGCAACGCAGGTGTCTCATCTCGCAAATCAGACCTCGCAGGAACTCGTGACATTTCCGAGAATACCATCTTTTTAACGAACCCGCTAAATACCCGTGAAGAAATAATCCAAGTACGAGAGGTCGTTCATATTCTCTTACAAGTCAGCAGCAAAAGAGATGAGCTTGTCAAACAAGGTGGTCAGATGGATGTGGCAGAAGTGGTCGAAACCACCCCTAGAAGGTGAGGTTTTATTATAACAAAATGGGATCGGAGCGCCCAAGCGCAGAGTGGTTTCAGGCTCATTGGTACAAACAGTTCTCCAAGAGCCACAGGAGCAAATGGACCATACAGGGGAAAAGCAGATACTAGATGCAAAAAGACATTGGTGGCTTTCGATCACGTAAGAAGTACATGACCTTCTTGCAGCATCACTTTAGGGGAGAAAGTAGCAATGACATTGAGAGTCTTCTCCTAACCACAGAAGGGGGAAAACGTTGTATCCTTGCTATTGATAGACCACTTCACGAAATCGGTTAAGGCAGGACGAATCAAGACGCCAAACGCCGAAACAATTGTCTCTGCTTTCATTAATAGTTGAATTCGCCAACAAGGAATTCTCGAAACGGTGCATAACGATCAAGGTGATGAATTCGGGATTTCTCAGATATGCACGACATCTGGGTACCCCCAAGACCATAGACAGGTGGAAAGAACGAGCCGTGCTCTGAATGGATTGGTGAGGGCTTTCACTAAGGGTGTCCGACCACAGGATTGGGGTTTATGCGTTGGACGGTGACCTCTTGCGCATAGGGCTAGGGTCGTGCATCTAGTGATTTTTCACCGTTCAAAATCCCTATAGGTTGAGAAATGAAAGTGCCAACCGATATTATCTTACCAAATGCGGAAGTAGTGTCCCCGAAATACGTACTGTAACTAGCAAAAGGAATGGGGTAAATGTTAAACATTGCAAGGAAGAACTTACGCCTGTCATCTTCCAGGCGGAAAATATGTCATGACAAATACAGCCCATTCTGCGTCTACAGACCTGTTTCGTCCCATAAATCCCGTGTCCCTTCATGCACAAATAGGTCTTCCTGATGGAAAGAAAACTAAAAGCACAAAGTGCCTGCGCAGATGGCGAATCAACCGTGTGCCCTCTACTGAGGCAAGCACAGGTTTCATCAGCTAACCTAAGTATATTTAAAGAGTATACAAATAGGGATTGAAGCAAGAAAGTTTGCAAAAACCATGGGGACGTTTCCGTTTAATGTAAGGCAGAACTTATCGTTTGTATACTTACAGATATGACATATATAGGATATTTTTGCTCCACCTTAAAATAAGTGCTACTAACCGCGGGAATCATTGACGCCGTTTTCTTCTCAAAAAACTGATTGCCTCCGTTTATAACAAGCTTGGAGTACTTTCCAACTTAAGTCTCTTACACTATATTGCCATCTACAAACCACACCTCCCTCCCCAAACTTTTGAGATCAGAGATCGATTGGAGAGGCAACGTACAATTATTTTGGCTTGGCAAATTAGGGATTTAACTGCACCAACCAATCCAAAGAAAGCCAGCTACAAAAATTATTTACTTTTTAACAAACTAGCAAGGTTCTTGAATCACTATGAGGAGTTGCGGTAACGGAAGCTTTGCCCACGTAAGAACAGCTTCAATGGTTCAGAGTGCGTTGATCACTTACACCTTTACAAGTAGCACATTAATGTGCATACGAATTACAAATACCTATATGGAATAAGAGCTGTATAATAAATCCGACAGCGTATGAATTAATCTAAGTAAAACAAGCACCACTTCGAATGTTAGAAAGCAGAAAAGTATGCTGCGTGGCAAGCTATGCAACGTGTAGATAAGCCTATATTTTTTAAAAGGGATTGTGCTTATGGAAACCTCAAAAAAGGCTGGGGAGCAGTTTTCATGCGTCCCAGCATATTTTGTTTTATTGAACCAACACACGTTTTGCCTACATTCTGCTGCGCACTAGTTTTTGGCCCATGTTGAACGCTGTTCGTCTATTTCGTGCTGCCGTATGTTGAAATTTCTCTCATCTTATTATTTCTCACAGATTCCAGAAAATATTGTGGTCGCGCGTAACCTTGCTACTGCCTCGGCCACTGCGCATTTACATCCATTTAAATTGTACAAACTCGACGATGGTCCCCCTTCAACCGCCACTTGTACCAGAGAGGAAGCTCTCCACTTTTATGAAACTATGCAACGTATTCGACGTATGGAGACTACTCTTAGTACTCTGTACAAGGAAAAGAAGGTCCGTGGCTTCTGTCATCTGTACTCTGGTCAGGTAAGTGACATTATCAATTTGACCTCTGTCATATGCTTCGGTTCATAATGCCGCATTAAATCTTGCTCTAGGAAGCCGTCGCAGTTGGTGTCGAGGCTGCTCTCAGTCCCGGCGACGCCATTATAACGGCATACCGTTGTCATGGTTTTCTCATTACGCGGGGCGAATCCGTTGCTAGCGTTATTGGCGAACTCATGGGTAAGAGCAACGGCAACGTTGCTGGGAAGGGTGGTAGCATGCACATGTATTGTCACGAATTCTACGGCGGTAATGGTATTGTCGGTGCACAGGTTGGTTCTTCATTGTACTCCGCTCTTTTCAATCGATCTTCGCAGTTAACTTTTAAGAAAATCCACAGGTTCCTCTTGGCGCTGGCATCGCCTTGCACAAGAAACGCAATGGTACAAATAACGTCTGCGTGACAATGTATGGTGACGGCGCCTCAAATCAGGGTCAGGTTTTTGAGACTTTCAACATGGCAAAATTGTGGAACCTGCCATGCATTTTCATCTGCGAAAATAATAAGTACGGTATGGGTACTTCAATTAGCAGATCCTCTTCCAACACTGCTTATTACACTCGCGGAGATGTTATTCCCGGTATCTGGGTATGTCTGTTCTTAAAGTTTTACTTCAAAGTTATTTGGCGCGATATCTTGGCATACTTCTGACATTTCAAATGGGACTGTATGGTTTTAAATGTAGATGGTCTTTCCCACTTACTTTTTGACTACACTCATCGACTCAATCCCTTTTCCGATTAAAGGCCGATGGTATGGATGTGTTGACCGTCCGTGAGGCGATGCGCTACGCGACAGACTGGTGTCGTTCTGGAAAGGGACCAATAATCGTTGAAATGGAAACCTATCGTTATTTCGGTCACAGTATGTCTGATCCTGGTACCAGCTACCGTACCCGCGACGAAATCCAAACTGTTCGACGTGAACGCGACCCAATTATCCTCTTCGGTCGCTTTATGACCTCTAGTGGTCTGGCTACCGATGATGAGATCAAGGTGATTTACTCCTCTCAACACTTTTCCGCCGGGATGAACAAATGCTCATATCATTCCTTTTTTTTCAGGCCATTGACAAGAAAATTCGTCAGGAGGTGGAAAATGATGTGGCAACATGTGAAAATTCCCCACCTCCACCAATCGATAGCGCATACACTGGTGTGTATCGCAGCTACCCTTCCAATTTTGGCATTCGTGGAACTGACATTACACAGTGGATCGTACCAAAATGCTAGGCGGCAAACGTGTGGATTCAAAGCGAACTCCCCAGTGCTGCGTTACCAGCCACGTTACTCCTCGACAAACTAGCTACTCTTCTTTTTTTAGTGTATTTCTAACCGTGTTTTCCCGCTTTTCAACAGAATATAATCCGAGTTTTATTTGAAGACTATCCTGCTGTCCTCTGTTGAGTCCTTTATCTGTGCATCACCAGTGCGCCCAACTATCCGTTTTAGATTCATACAAAGGAGAATTCTGGGTAGCCGTCAGACAAATGCAGCGTACTGCAATGGTTTTATCCGTGTTAACAATTACTAGGTCACATCGGGTAGCTTCAACGTGAACCGCCTTGAAAGCTGGGTGCACGAATCAATCAACGTTTTGTCAAACCTTGTGACGATTTCTGATTGACTCAAAACTCCAACTTTCCAGGTCAGGGTGCACGTGTAACGTGGTAGGCGATATGGTGGATGGGGCTCAACCATGAATGGGTTTAGTTTAGGCTCGTTCATGCAAAAGGAAGCACAACTAAAGCAAATGTCCTCCTAGCACACAACCTCTCTTGTAACGAACTTCGAGCTCATTCCTCTCTGCCTGCTTACCAGCTCACATCAGTCATTGTGTTAACTACCGTGAATTGCAATTCGTTGCGAGCCAGGAGGAGGAGATCGTGAATTCATTTCCAGTTAAGATGTTAAGACTCCTAACTCAAACCACTGGGAGATAACTAGTATTTTTTATTTATTTGATAATGCCTTGAGTAAGGATTCTTTCAAGCAATTCATTGTTGGCATCAGGACACCCTCATGGATTTGAGGGCTGGATCGCAAGGATGGTTATAACACTCAGGCACTGCCTTACTTGCTCCAACACGATTCTGCTCTTTCTCATACAGCCCACACTACTCAGGCGTAAATGACTAAAAAACCCCCCGTGATTACGTTATCTCAATCCTTTAGTGTTCTAAATCTTTCAATTTACACCTCTTAAACTGCCCTTTTTGGAGCGAGTACCACATAATCACAAAATCGGTTAGCAAGTATAATGGCCACCTAAAGGCACAAATGCTCACATCAAACGCCAGTACTTTTGCCTCCCACTCGTAATTCGCAAAGGCGATTTCCGGGTATTGAAAGTCTGCAGCATGAATATTTGCTTGGAGGTCTGGAATAATTTTTTACTTCAACCCACCAATCAGTTCACGGCGTTGCCTCGAAGGCAGAAAGCAAGCCTATGCTGCGGCTGCCTGCACCAAACACTTAATGTCGGTAACCAAAACCCACTTAATACTAGCACACCTTTTGGTATCATGGCGATTTCACAAAAATTGCTGACTTGCTCGTCAACCTCAACATTTCATCGGGGTCAAACCACAAACAGTTGCTGGGGTGTCCTTACCGATTTTTATCTGTCACAGACAAGCAAGGCGCGTCAACCATCGTGATCGTCTGTTTTTTCCTTGCCATAACAACTCCAAAAGTAGTCTTGAATTGAGGCGAATCGGTGGCACTACTGGAGGCATAAGGGTCACTGCACCTGCTTTGTAGATTAACCGTCTGTGCCTGAATAAACTTTCCGCTTCTATGTGGATGGAGAACGAGCCTGCTGAACAAAACCTCTACGGACACATTTCAAGCAATATTGTGGGTTAGAGTGCCATTTCACTGGTTTTCTTCTCTAGGGAAATAAAAGAATTGCTATTAAAACTAACCTTTCAAAGAAATTGCGTGAATTAAAACAGTCAAATGCGGCATTTCTGATAGTTCAAAAATGAAACAAATTCATTTATATTTACACGTGAAAAGCGAGAATTTCGTTTGTCGGACTATTGGCACAATGTGGGGGCTATTGTGAGAGAGACCAAAGAAGTTGCACAGACGCACCGACGGCATATGCCTCGGTCTCCACACGAAGGTCGCGTGACTGCAAACATGTGCATATGCGTGGAGAGGTGGATTGCGCGCCACTTCAAAGTAAAAAGAAATGGGACAATTTTGCTAAAATAAAGGGGGTAAAAATTGTGGCCAAAACACGAAACGTTGGCGATCATGTTGATGCATGTCTGCAACTTGTATATTGCGCACACCATGACGAACAAGTGGTGCAGAACCTAAAAGGTACAACTTAAGCCATCCAGATCAGATTCATTGACCCAAGAATACAGATTACTCTCAGAAATTTTCCGCTTTTTTGGTTAGCTTACGCTAACAGCCTGTACTTAATAACTG